TATATATATATATAATCTCTTGCGCCAATATTTTGCTCTGTCCTTTTCAAAATATAGGGAGACAGTCCAGCTACAATACAATTCAAGACAAGGGGGTTAGGAGGGCCCTGCTCTTAAAGGAGAACTGTGAGGTGAGTGAAAATCACTCATCCTTATAGTTCGAGCCAATAGACCGGGAAGTGAGTGAAAACATACCGTCGCTTGCTCATTTCTCGATCATCTCCCTGCAGAGAGCAGTGACTGTCACTCACGGCTTCCTGCAGGGATTTCCCCTGCTCCAATCCCGCGCTGACTGTCAGGGGTAGAGGGCAGGCACAGCTGTCTCTGTCTCTAGATAGGCAGAGCCAGCTGTCACTCATACAGCTGGGTGGATCTCGACAGTAATGTTGGGATCCGTTCCGGCTGCGGTGGTCTCAGTATACTGCGAGCTGAAGCTCATGATATACTGAGCTTTGGGCCATGGGAGGAAGCTAGTATATGTCCTCCCGTGACCCTCAGGAGAACTATTGGGAAAACAACTTACCCCATAGTTCTCTAAGAGCTACAATCTAAATGGGAAGGGCAAGTGATAACAAAGACATTCATTGTGTTGAGTTGTTTGGGAAAACAAAAATGTAGCTTTTGGGTGGACGCTGGATAGGCTTCCCTAAAGAGATGAGTTTTCAGGGATCCGCTAAAGGCAGACATGGAACGAGTGACTGCAGATGGCAACGCTTCAGATTCAAGTAGTAAAATATGTCACCAGCACACTATGGTTAAATATTCAAGAAGTGATCATTTTATTGATGCACACCTTGTCACATTGCAATGTTTCGGGGCCACTCAGGGTCCCTTCATCAGGCATGAGATGGGGTTTTTTGGCTTTACTTTTTTTGTGTCATAGGAGGACATCTACTAATGTATTCCTGTGACTCAAAGTCAGAATCTAGCAAACTACTGCCCACTATGTGCTGACAGCGCAGAGCCGCACTGCAGTAGGGAATGATTCCGGCAATATTGTTTGGATCCACCGCGCTGCCTAACTGACAGCTGCTTCTGTCTCTCTAGAGCCAGCTGTGCCTGCCCCCTCCCCTGTCTGACCCTCCAATGAGCGCTTTGTTTTCTTTATTTCAGCCACAAAGCAAACAGAGCTCTTCGAAAGAAGGAAAACCGAAGGAAGAAAAGACAGGCTCTTGCTAAATTAAGAGAAGCAGGTTCGTCAATGAAATGTTTTGTAGTTATAATAATCGCCAGGATTTCCACAAAAATTATATCTAAAGGCCAAACTTTTTTTTTACTTTAGATAGGGAACGATTAAAGTGACAAACTCAGGAGTTACATCTTAAAAATGCATTCAAGTACCTTAACTATTGACCAAAATGTATCTCATTTGTGTATCAGCCGGCTGTAGATCCTCAAATCATCTCTGAATTGGAGCTGACACTGTCCTTCCTTCTGGAGGGCGGCTACTTTTGTTCCCCATGGTTCCTGTGTGTGTTGTAATGTAGTCAACGCTCCAAGATCACTCCTGTGATTGACTACAATCTCATCTTTAGTTTGCTAATTTATATTGAGATTGTAGTCTATCACAGGAGCGAGCTTGAAGTGGTGGCTTCATTACAACACACAGGGACCATGGGGAACAGACGTAGCCACCCTCCAGAAGGACAGTGTCAGCACCAATTCAGAGATGATTGGAGGATCTACAGCCGAGTGATACACAAATACGATACATTTATGTTAATAGTTGAGGCACTTGAATGTATTTCTAAGGTTTAACCAAGTTTAGTGTCACTTTATTTTTTTTTTCTTGGCCTTCTGTGTCCAATTGAGTAGACATTCTTTCACTTCCTGCCTCAGATAACCTACAGCAAGTAAGAGCAAATCTCCCAAAACTGAAGGAAATCTCCTCTTAGACACAGGGGTTTTAACCCTTCTACACTTCTTCCAAAGCCCAAAATAACTTGTGACTGGTTCTGTGATCGATGTGATTGGTGATCACAGCGATCATATGGCAATGTTTACATTTCCAATCCCTCCTCTTCCTCTTACATCAGAGGCAGGGGAGAGTAAAGGGAGCAATGATTTGTTGAGTCATCCATTCATTGCTTCCTAGTGAAAACAAGCTGCTGCAGCAAAAAAATACCGTTACACATTTTAACCCTTTTGTCCCCCACTCCTCTCCTGCTTGTGAAAATCTGCATTAACCCTTTCACCTTCCTTATCCTGCACATCTATACATTAACCCCATCTCTATCCTCCCAGTGTATGTGACCTGTAAATTAACCCCTTCACCTCCTCCCTCTGTCTGTCTTGTACATATTGCATCTTGTGCATGATTACCAAGCTCCATGTTTTAACCCCCTTAATACCGGCATATTTCTTAATTTCCCAAAAATGGCTGCAAAAAATCAGACCACCTTCCAGTGTCTACTTTCTAAAAGAAGTAATTTCCTTTATTTTCATACTGTCCTTTTTTATTCGCTAAGATTTATAAACAAAAGTAAGAGACATTGGCTTTTTTTCAAGTTTTTATTTTTACTTTATATAGTTAAAATTTTATTTAAAAAAGGCAGTTATTAAATACCACCACAAGAAAGCTCGATTTGTCCCCAAAAACGATGTCAAATTAATTTTGTTACATTGCTGCGTGTCGTAGGCGTTCTCAGACAAACTTGCACAGCTCTGAAAAATGGCCCGATAATGAAGAGGGTGTAACGTGCAGGTACTGAAGTGGTTAATAACAAGCATTGTCTCTTGCACAATATCACATTTATTACAAATCTGGCAGTGTTTTAAATTTGCCACTTGTTTGATAGATGAAGCAGCCGGAGCTGACTGAAGTTTGAGTCCATTTTTTAAAATCTGTTAATTTTGCTACAAGTATAGTTAACATGACCCTTTCCTGTATGGCAGAAGAGAAGGAAGGGGAGGCCTGCGCTGAAGATGATGATGATGATGATGAAGAGGAGGATGACCTTCAGGATGTGATTGAAAGGTTGGTGAAATTATATAAAACGTGTTCTAAATTGTAGTTGTTTTTACAATAGAAGTTTTTTTGCTTTACCTCTCTTTTATGTTACAGGAGTTCATTTGCTAATGTACTCCTCTGACCCAGAGTCAGCAGATAGTGGGCTAACTCCTGCTATATGCTGATAGGGCATAACCACAGCACATGTGGGAGGTATCCTGGCAATATTGTCAGACCAACTCTTGCTGCCTAAGTAACAGCTAGCTCTGGCCCTCTCCACTGCCTGTCCCTCCAATGAGCTCTGGAGTAACAAATAGGGGCGAATACCAGCGGGGAACAGTAACTGTTCTCTGTAGGGAGATGAGATTAGGAACTGGACTATCAGCGGTTACATGATCATAGCCGGTGTGTGACAGCTGCAGTGTCCCATGCCAGCTATAAGCAGCAGGGAGAAAATATTTTACTCTTCCTGCACGTCTCCTTTAGGCCCTTTTCACACGGGCTGATCACTCTCCTGATCACAGCAGAACGGAGCGGATGTCACAGCGGTGTCCTTCCAGTTTTTTCCACCATCTTGGATGGATGAAAGAACTGCAATTACTGGACCCCATGTCTGTCTATTGGGAATCACATGTAAGTGACATGTGTCTGCTTACATCAGATTACCTCAGTCTGGCACGATCAGGTCCGACGAAACAGATCTCTGATCCGTTTGTTTTTCCGGACCTGGCCGGAGTCGGGGTTAACCGAGTGTAAACAGACTTATGTCCGTTTACACGCGGCTGCTGACGGATTTGCTTTGGGCATCTGGTCGGGTCTGCCTGAAAAACTGACAGACGGACCCGATCGGACCACCCTTGTGAAAGGGGCCGTAATCGATATAAGGATGAGAGTAAAATAACTTGGCTGTGTGCTCAGGGTTTGCAGTAATGTTTTCTGTGTTAATCATAACTGTTGTGGATTGAGATATCATTGTACATTCATACAGGCAGAGGCAGCATGAAGAATGGCTTCTTCGAGAGCAGAAGGCTCAGGAAGAATTCAGGCTGAAAAAGGAAAAGGAGGAAGCGGCTAGAAAACGGGAAGAGGAAGAGGTACATTGATATGATAGTGATTTTCCTTCTAGGCCAGGGGTAGGCAACCTTGGCTCTCCAGCTGTGCTGAAACTACAATATCTCATTAGGCATTGCAAGCCACAGGCATGATTCCCAGAGGGAGAAGCACGATGGGATTTGTAGTTTCAGCACAGCTGGAGAGCCAAGGTTGCCTACCCCTGTTCTAAGCCAACACATCACCGGTTTTGTAGTATAGAACAACCTTAAAGTACAAAAAAGTGTGAGGTGTAACTTCAGTGTTGTCAGGCCACTATCTGTTAAAGCCCCTTCACACCACTTGTGCTGGGCTCTGTTGGCCTACAGTACTCAACGCAGGTCCAATGCAAAACATAAGCTATGTATGCAAGGTAAAACAAATCCTAGTTGCTGCCTTTTGTGTACCAAACATAACCACAGCGATGGCTTTCCCAGGGCTATGGTCAGGGATATGGGAAGCCCAGGGTCATGGCCAGTGATGCAGCACACAATGTGATTTTTACATGTACAGATGGCAGTTACTTCTGTGTACAGTACCACATGTTTTTGTGCATGATGTCATTACCTTTTGTCTTTTGTCTAATCTTGATGTTTTCTCAGTTGAAACCCAGAAATACGAAGTATTTAGATGTGAGGCTTAAATGACACAAGAAATTTGTGGTTCCGTATAAGTGATTTGCACTTTTTGTTTCCCATAGAGACGGATGATAGAGGAATGGAGAGAACAGGAGATGAAAGAGAGAGCAGAAGAGCCAGAAGAAGTGAAGAAGAGAGAAAGAGAGGTGATTCCTGCACTAGGAGGATAAAAACATTTATATCCTGCCTCAGCTCTAGTCAGATGTCTGCTGTATCCTAAATGAACACCCAGAACATGTCTGAGAAGTACTGCCTCAGCCGGTGATTTCCCTAGCGAACATTTAATTTCTAGTTGTTTTTCCATTCTGCTCTATAAGGTGGATAGATAATATAGTTGCTAAGTGCTAGGCCCATAACCTGCCAGTGGCATTTAGCAGAGATTTGTAGCAGCTACACATGTTTCTGATTACTTTCTGTGGTGATTTGTAGATGGCTACAGAGGTTCTGCTGTAGATTGTTACAAAGCTTGTCTGTGTGGCTTTGAATTGCTGATGAGGTAATCTCATCATGCGGTAATCTCATCATGCGGTACAGTGAGCGCTGGTCCATGGAGGGAGCAGCACTCATTGAGTTACTGCTGTTGCTGGGTCCCTAGGAGTCCAAGGCAGACCCTCAACAGCAAATTAGGTGGTCCCAACCCTGTGATCACAGTGATAAGTAATCGCTGTGATCACAGAGCCGGCAGCAGCTCAGTGTGTTGTGCAGCTGCGAGCCAGCTGTGTGTTGCAAACGGCTACAACGTATCTCTAAGGAGAATACCGTATTCTCCTCAGAGATACTGTGTATCTAAGCCCCTGTAAATAAATAACCCCTTAGTGCCCCCTAGTTTAAAAAAAAAATTATACAATTTTAAAATAAAAAGTAAAGTTTTTAAAAATTAGAAAAAAGTAAAACAAAATTTAAAAAATACATTTTAATAAAAAGATTATAAGAAAATATAGTGCTGAAGAGGCTATTCAAGTTAGGAGACAAACATACCACATTCTAAAATTGTTCCAAACTAAAATTGTATTTCACTCCTTTTGTGTATTTTGTGACCTAAAACTCCCACAATAAACTATCTATCTGTTAGCCACACTAATTATGTAGTAATCATTGCCAAAAACTGTAAAATGTGGGGGGTTTTCAAAAACAAAATTGTATTTTTTTATATAAAAAAAAGAATGAATATATGCAAATGTTGCATCAGATGAAATCCCATTTTGTCCTTTAAAAAAAACAGTGTATAATGCGGGGAACAATAAGATTTCTCTGAAGCTAGGGACTAAACGGATTGTGTAGTCTTCCTGGAAATATTTAACAAAACCTTGTGTTGCTGGTTTGTTAGTCAGTTTGTTTTTGTAATAGTCAGCCTGCATATACAGTAATAAATATGCTTCTTTCCTGCTTTTTTATCAGTTAAGTGCTACAGCAAAACTTCTGTCAGCACGTAGCAGAGCCAGACCGAGGTTCTTACACACAAGCTGTGCTGCGGTCTGACATGCTCACTAAACACTGCTCTCCTCAACATCTGCTCCTATTACCTGAGTAGAGCTGTTGATTAAAGTCCAACTATGAGCACAATGATATTACCGAGCAAGTTGAACTGTAAAGCCACCAGCATTCATTTACAATGCCGCCTTCTCCCTGCAAATCTGCTTCTTTACATGCAGGTGGAAGTCCAGCACCCGCGGTACTCCTGTATCCACTCTGGCTGTAAGTGCTGCAGATCTCATAGACCTCAGGTCACACCTTGGTCCATCTCTCCTCCTGGCCAGTCATTAAATGAAGCCTGGGGCTGTGTGTTTTGTGATTGGCTAGGATGAAGAAGAGGCGGACATGCAATTGCAGCCCTGCGATCTATGAGACCTTCAGTGCTCACACAGACATGGAAGTACTGCGTGCATTGGACTTCACCCGCATGTAAAGAAGACTTGCGGGGAGGAGGCAGCAGTGTAGATTATGGCAGGTGGAATTTACAGTAAACGGACTGTTCACCTTGCTTAACTTCCTTCAGATTATTGTTCTCAGTTGGCCTTTAGAGGGGTATGTTGGAGAGCTGGGCTGCTGGGGCACTCCTAGGTTTTCTATCTCTTGTTGCAGCACTTAGCAGATTTAAAAAGAGAAGTATATTCATTGTTATATGCAGCCTCACTAGATTACATTAGTAGATGAAAAGGGATCAGTGGGGCTTTAATGTGCATTCAAGAAAGTCTACAATAGGGGACATGTAAAAAAATATATTTTTATGAAACCATCTCATGTTAATACACATGACTGTATGTAGTAAGTACAGTCATGGCCAAAAATATGAATTTGATTTATTGGAGGAATAGAGGCTGTTCACCTAGCATAGTGAACGTTCAATCTGGATACTCCATCATTTGGTAATTCCTTCTCACTCTTTGTGTTAACCAGCACATTTTACACGTCGTTTTTCCAAAACACTTCATACCTGCGGACTTTCTTCTGCAAGGGGAACAAAGCAGCTATTGACGTTAATATCATTTGTTTATTGTCTTAGGCTCAGAGTGTGACATGTGCACTTCAAATCAGCACATTTGTTTTCAAATGACTTTCTTTAAAGTTAACCTGTCTGCGCAAAAATGTGATCAGACTGACATGTTTGCCTTAGCTAGTTCCTGCAGTACAGCATCTTGCTGAGGGGCAGAGCAGCACACACTATGCATTGAGGGGTGCTAGAGTGCTATACTGCAGACAATTAGCTTATACATCTGGATTGGGAGTCCCTTAGGAGCTATGGAGCTGATTTCACTAGGAAAGTTTGTCTAGACACATTGCTGTGGTGCTTTTCTGCATATATGTCAAGTAAATATTTTCTAGTGACTGATCTACTTTATAATCCATAAATAAACAATTTTTAGTTTAAGCATCTATTCAGATATAAACCTGGGGTTAAAGGACGCAGAACATCATCTTTGTAAAAATGTAATTGATATTTTATCCTGTATTGCAAAGCGACCTAGTTCATCATCTTTGAAAAATGATTCCTTAACCTTATTTCCACACGCTTAGCTTACCAAGCCTCACTGCACCAAGATGTATCTTTTTCTTAAAGTATTTGACATATTCCATTTACAATTTTTTTTATATCTGGCTTTAAAGTAAGATTGAATGTGTGCACTTAGAGTTGTATGAATTCTGCGTATTCCCACATGCCACCAATAGCAGCTTGTTAACCTGTATTGTTTCAACTATAGTTATCCAAGTAGCCTTTACTCTTTTCACTGGTAACAGTACAGTGACATGTGCTTTAAAGGATCACTGTAGTATTTTCTAAAATGTTCAACTTAAAATAATTTTCTAAATGTTGCTTATTTTAAAATCTTAATTCCCTCCTATAGTTTGTAAATTGATATGTTCACGAAACAGCTCATTACACAAGCAGCCTCTGCTTCCCGAGTAAATCTTCCAGACTCTTCATTTTATGATGATTTGCAACTTTCACAGGACTCATGGACCGTGTGATCTAGGCTACCTAGGCTTTAGGTCACATGAGGGAGCTCAGGAAGGCATTTTTATTCATGACCAGCAAGAGGTGTGATTGTATTTGGTAATGCTGACATGTGCCTGTTAATTAACATGCATTATTATCAGAGGTGCATTATAAGAAGTTTTCCTTTAACCACTTGCCGGCCGTTGTAAAAAAATGGCCAGTCTGGCGCTCTCTAGATCTGAGTGGGCGTCTTTAGACGTCCGCTCAGCCACGCCCCCTTGCGCGCGCCGCTGGGCGCGTGCGAACGGGAGATGCCGACATTTGAAAACGGGCAACGATGCCCGTTAATATACAAGCGATCCACCGGCTATAGAGCCTGCGGATCGCTTGTATGAGGTCCCGGGATGTGCGCCCGCTGTCACGCTGGTCCCGGGCTCAGCTGTGCTTGGTGCGAGCCCGGGACCAGCAAACTGTCTGTCACGGGATCAGAGGGAGGTCGGTACACGGGATCAGAGGGAGGTCGGTACACGACCTCCCTCCGGTCCCCTCTCCGCTGTCAGAATGCGGAAGTGTTGTATAATACATCACCTCTGCATACTCGTGTCACTCTCCAGCTTCAGATGCTGGAGAGAAGCTGATGAAGCAGATCTCTGCTTCATCAGCTTTTTCAGGGAGGTCCTAGGTGACATTAGGGGTCTTGGAGACCCCTGATGTCTCCATAAAGAGGACCTGTCACCTCTTTTGCTATCACATAAGGGGGTTTCTCAGCCCCC